ACTATCCAATAAAAATTCTATATTATATTAATGATAGTGTACTTATAAAATAAATTATAATGCACCCATATAATAGATTCCAATAGACCTATTAAATATAATTCCAAAAGCAAGAGAAAATAACAAACTTGCAATATTGAAATCCTTAGTGTTAGTTTATAATATAAAAACTTGTTTAATAAATATTAACTTTATTTTTCAGTATACAACAAAGAAAAACTGAGCAGTAAAAATATTTATATATAAATGATCTATTGTTTTTTCAATAAGATGCAACTCTGAAACTAAAATTACTAGATCAAGGGTTATGGATATATTTATGCTAAGTAAAGTACATATATTTATATTCTCATTTTTCAAAATTTTGCCTAATTTGCAAATTATGGTACATTTTTGTTTCAATACAAACTTATTTGATTACTGGCAGAGTTAACTAATTTTTTTCTTACTTGTACTGTATATTGCCCTTCTTTTGTTAGTTGTTTGGTATTTTCTACATTTTTCCATTAGTGTTATGTATTATTTTAATTGATATGTAAGAGCTTTTCACTCATTAAGGTTATTCACTTTTATAATATAAATGTAAAAGTTTCTCTATTTGTATTTGTTCTTTAATTTTGTTAATATATACAGACATATAAAACTTTTATTTAGTCATATTTTTTACTTTAGAACTTCAGTCTTTGATGTTATGATTTAATCACTTTTTCTTATATATTAATTTAAATCTTCTTAAATTATGTTTAGTTTTACCTTTAAATTTTAATACAGGTTAAATTTATTTGGCATATTACAAAACAAGGATATGAATTTTTCAATTGGTTACCCTATTTGGTAATCCCCACACCATTTGCCAAATGATCTTTCCTCATCCAGCTGATTAGAAAAGTTATATTTATAATAATAAAATATACAAACTCCAGTCCATGTATAGACTGTTTATGTCATATGTCTATTCTTGTAACAGTATCATATTCTCTTAATTATTTTATTTCCTGTGTTAATCCTTTCCTTGATTATCAGTTGTTAGACAAAAGACATAACATATTTATTTATAAGTTCGCCTACATATTAACTTTCTTCTTATTAAGCTTAAAGTGAAGTAATTAACATAAATCTTCTACAGTTTCCAGGACAAGTTATCAATGGAAGTTTCTTGTGTCTGGTTTTCATGTACATTTTATGGCTACCATCAATACTGAGCTTTTTAAAAAACTGTTCAGCTTTCTCACTGACTTACTCATTACCTTAAAAAATATTTACTATCTCCACTTCTAAGTGCCAGTCAAGGTCAAGGGGGTTACCTTCTTGAAGTATACATTTTAATAAACAATTAGACAAATAAACAAATTGCATAACTGCAAGAAGAAAAATAAAGAAGATGCATGATAGAGAACAGGGTGGCCAAGGTGGAAGCTATTTAGCTAAGTCAGGGAAGACCTCTGTGAGGAGGTCACCTTATGCAGATACCTGAAGGATAAATAAGATAACTATACAAAAAACAGGAAAGAGAGAGAACCAAAATTCAGGAACAAAATACAAAGATCACACAGCAAGAAAATGCTTGAAATGATTAAAGAACTAAAAAGGAATCTGACTGTAACATAGTCTGATTAACATAGCAAATGGAAGAATAACGTAAGATAAAGTTGGAAAGGTAGCCAGCAGTGAGATTATCCAGGACCCATTTGATATTTTACTCTAAATGATACTAGAAAAATTTAAGTCAAAATGGGACATAATCTCATTTATGTTTTTAAATAAAATGCAACAAAACTAGAAAGAATGATCAGTAGGAGAAGAGATAAGAAAACCATTTTGGAAGCAATTGCAGTAATCCAGGTAAATTAGAACTAAAGTAGCCTTGCTAGTATAAGCTTAGACATTTTAACTTTGTCCCAAAATTATAGAAAACCTTTAGAAAGAAAAATGATTTTATTATATTGGTTATATTACATATTATAAAATATTATATCAACATATATTAAATAGAAATTATATTCCATTACATTGCTTTTTAAATTACATACTGGTGCTATTTTTAAATTTTTCATCAATTAATAGACTAAATGACCATAGAGAAGTCCAATGAAGAAACTGGCAATACTTAAAGTAGGGATAAGACCTTGAAATGAGGGACTATCAAGGATTAAAAAGAAGAGAGAACAAGGCCAGAGAGCTAGTTCAGAAATTTGTAAAAGGATCAATAACGAGCTGCAAGAAGGGAGTGAAGTGTGAAGGAGTTATACAATAGACCAGGTCAGTGCTTCTCATGCTACTTGTGAAAAATAATTTTTTTTAAAGTAGACAAAATAAAAGCACAAATATTTTTTTATTATTTGACTCCACTGAACAAAGATAACATTGGGGGGGAAAATAATTGTAAAAGCTGTCCATGATGTTTACTGAAAGTGTACCTACACAAATGTTTTTATACTTGTAACTGTTTTCATTACACATCATAGCTAAACAAAAAGTTTTAAGCAAAGATTCCCGAAAAGAAATGACTACATAAGCACTTTGAACAAACATTGATAATATAAATATTTAATGTTTATAATGTGACCATGAGCTTTTTGCTTATTAAACTTAATCTAATCCAAGTTGAACCAGCAATAATGTTACTCAAGGGAATAACATAGAGCTAACCTGTTTTTATTTAATTAACATGCAGAGTGGAGAGAGCAGTGTCACAGAGGTATGCTGATAGAACGAAAACTCAGCTTAGAATATTCATTTTACACTTTTATCCAAAATGAAACTAGAAATGCTATCTCTTCAAAACATACCATTAATGCTCAATTTCCAGTTCCAGTAATTTATTCTGCATAGTTACAATCACATATAAATTGCTTCACTGAAAGAAATAGTTCCAGTTCCATGAATTTCTTATGTATGAATCTTCTTTTAACAGAAAATAAAATACAAAAACATTCTAGCAAATACATAAAATGACAAGAGCTAACTTTTAAGGATGAACAAAATCAAGTTTGTTCTTAAAGGTCAGGATAGTTCACTGACAATTGTTATTAAACAATGAAACATGTCATAGAAATTGTGTACTTCCAAGATTCTAACTTTGATTTTTGTCCTCTGACATTTTCTGCTAGTAAAAAAATAAAAAGTTGTAATCTTTCTTTGTTTGAAAGTACTACGTTTGTTAAAAATATTTTACGTCTGACAAAGAAGCCAGTCCTATTAAAGAGTAGAATCCAACTGACTTTTTACCCTGTGAAAAGACTTAAGAGTTGACTTTGCAGTTCTAATATCATCAACAGAATTTTCCTCTCAATAACCATTGTCCCGCAGCATGGAATCACAGGTACATATAATCAGCTTTCATATTATCACATAATACAGAGAATAACAGAATATTTACCATATCAACCTAAAAGTACTTCAAAATTTTATTATACCACTAATACCACTGTGCAGGTCAGCTAAAATTGTTTTCATAACAAAATTTTCTTGATAAAGAAAGTAGTGCATTGATATTTTGATATAAGCTTAGTCTAGAATATTTCCAGGTCACTACAGTAAAGCCTTTGGAATATGCTTATATACAACACAAACTCCAGAGGACATTTAATTTAATTGAATCTAATCTTACTTTATACAATTCAGAGGAATGTGCTTATAAGAAATATAGCTAATAAATGTTTCCTTTATTTCATTATGATACTTAAAGGTTGCATATTTATAAAAAATATCTGTGCATTCATTAAGTTATAATAAAACCTATTCTGCTGTTTTATTTGTTCTATAAATTGGTCTTCCATAACCTTAGCCAATGTATGGAGTACACTAAACTACGGTATCACCTGGAGCTCAAGTCCTCTCCAAACTCACTTAACTCAGTTCCTTGCTGTTGTAGGCTAAAGTCTCCCACTTTTTTTGCTGACTATTAGTCAGGTGGTGCTCTCGGTTCCTGCAAGCTGATGTCATAGCTTTGTCCTGTGGTAATCTTAATGTTAGCAATGTCAAATTCCTCTCACACTGTTCTGCAACCATCCAGAGAAAACTCTCTGCCTTTACAGAACTCCTGTGTTTAGGTCAGGGCTACCTGGATAATCATCTTTAAAGCAACTGTCATATAGAAAATAACCAGTCACAGGAGTAAAATCCATCATTTTAAGTGTCTCAGGAATTATACAGGGCGTGTACACAGGAAAATCTTGGGGATGAGACATAGGGGTGAGAATTCGGCCTACTGCAATCCTTTGTTCTGCAGAGACAATTCTCATGTTAATCTTACCCAGACATCATTTTGGCTATTTAAGTTTTCATCTCTAAAACTTCCGATTGGTTCTTTTTAAAACTCTTCATTTTTCTCCTCATTTCGTTCACTTTTTTTTTTTTAGGTTGAAAAACATCTTGTACATACTTGATAATAGCTGTTTGAATGGCTTTATCTAGTAATTCCGACATCTCTGTCCTTTCTGAATCTGTTCCTATTGACTAATTTTTTTGCCTCCTGCTTATTCATCACATTTTCCTGCTTCTTTGCATGTTTAACAATTTTTATTAGATGTTTAACATTGACCTTTATGTTGCTTATTGAATAATTGTTTTTATATTTCTTTGAAGAGAGTTAGAACTTTGCTCTGATAGAAAGTTAAGTAACTTTAGATCAGTTTGATGCTTTCAAGACATCTTTTAAGCTTTTTTCTTGTGAATCTGGAGTAGCCTTCATTTTAGGGATAATTTAGTCCCTCTACTAAGGTGTGATTCTTCTGCGTTCTCTAATAAATGCTACCACAGTACATATTAGCCTACATATATACTCAGGTATCCTTAATTTGCAGATGGTACTTAAAAATGTAATGGAATATAAATATAAAAGCTATATTTTGCTCTCATTAGCCAGGTATAAATACAACATGTATTTCCATGAAACCTAAGGTATATACTTGTTTATAACAATAGCATTATGGATATTTATTATATAACATGATGAAATAAAAATACTCAAACAGGTCAGGAGACAAGGTCAATATTACCTTTGTAAAATGAGTGGGCAAAGCTCTGCTCAGGAATTAACTTGGCAAGGAATCCATGGTTCAAAGTTGGATGAGGGATAGATGGTATGACCACAACTGTGAAGAAAATCATGGAATCAAATTTGAGCCAGCATGTAACAGCATGAAACATGGTCAATAATAAAACATGACAATTTTATATTACTGCAACATGCAAACAGTACTAGCAACAAAAACTGCATCTCTGGGGGAAGGAAAATGTTTATGTATTAAGAGAAAGAAAATATAATAAGTAGTTTAAGCAACAGACACAAACATATACAAACATACACAAAAATCAGAACTGGTTTTAGTGAACTGGCAATTCACTAATATATTGCTTATTTTATACATATATGACTGATGGGAATGCATTAAAATAAAGAAAAAGAGTTAAGATAATAAAGTTTTAGTATTTTAAATGGTCAAAAGATACAAAATGCAATGGTAAAATAATGTTTAATTTGAATAACAAAGTTAAAAGAGTATACTATAATGAAATATGTTTATGAGTTTAATATAAATATAGCATGCAACAGCAAAGTATTATAGCTTCCACATAATCCATACTTCCACAACAACAATAAAAGGTAAATGAGATATGATATGCTATTGAAAACAAAATACAGAGATTTGACCACTAATTTCTAAGCACTTGTTAAAATATCCATTTTATTTATATGTCATATACATTTATTTAGCAAAGACAATTTCAACTACAAATTAACCAAGTGGTACATGAAATAACCACTGGGTTACCAAAGTTACAATGCAAAAAAACAGGGAAACAATTTTCATATAAACACCTAGCCTGAAATGCAATTGGTAGGAGGAACCCCCTGATATTAAAATACTAGTTGCCAGAAAATTTCAAGCATGGTAGACAAAGTTGATAATACAAAAATTCCTACATGAGTATTTTCTATAGATAAGAAAGACAACATGAGACAAAATGAAGATGGTTCATTGTTTTCTATGTCTTTGATTTTAATTGAAGCTACTTTGCAGGTATAAAGTTTAGAATGTATGTTTGCTTATTAGGAATCTCTGATAGAATATTGATATTGAATATATAAATATTTTGAATATAAAATATATGAAATATAGAATATTGATACTTAGACACTAAAATAACTACATAGGCAAAAGAAAGAAAAGGAAGGCAGGCAGGCAGGAGAAAAGGGAAGGAAGTGAAAGAAGGAAAGAAAGAAAAAGAAAGGCTATCTTTGAACTTGGTTATAAAGATTACATTTTGGCTTAGCCTTGGTCTTGTACTACTCTATAAGAACTTCCTAATTTCATGTTTATAAAAAATAAAAGTAATATATTTAAAATATATGAGTTACTTGCATATAAAATAGTATTGTAAATGATATGTATTAAGTATAAAACATTAAAACCAAAACTGCACTGATAAATGAGAATATAGCAAATATCATGGAAACACCATTCAGACATTTTTGATGAATTAAATAATATTAAATTGGCCTTTATATGCCAATTTATAATTTATAAATATTTGAGGAAATTATGAATAGAATTAGTTTAAATCTGGATATAAAAATAAAATTAAAAGAGGCAAATGATAATGGAAATTAAAATAATTTAAAAAATATTAAGTACCTGTACTTGTTGGTGAATTTATTTCCTGTCTGATGTTTCTACCTGGTTGGCTTCCAGTTCTTGCAGTCTCTCGCTGGGGTTCTAATATGTCACGATACTTGGAAACCATCAGAACCGAAATGAAGTAAACAACAGCTAGAGCTAAGAACTGGGCCTGCTTGCTATCATCCTGTGTAAAATGAAAAGGCAATTTTGACATAAAAAATTTTAAAGTGAAAGAGGCAGAATACAAGGAACTATTCTTATTTCATTTTCTTTATGGAGGCAAAGTATGACATTAAACTTTTATTAAAACTTGTTAAGTATATATTATAATTCAGTAATTATCATTTAAGTATAAATACAAACTCCAGGAATATATCATCTGAGTTATAGGTCGAAATGTAATTTCAAAATAAAGTTAAAATTTTGCTGAATATGCCACAAAACTATTCTTTGTGCTTTTCACCATTATCTATTACTCCCAAAACAGAGTATGTATGTTTAAAAATATGTAGATATATGCAGTATGCAGTATGTATATTAAAATATGCAGTATATATATTAAAATATGTACAAGGTTGAGGAGAATAATTAAATACCACAATTATAAAAACAGTTTCAAATGTTATAACTAAAAATTAATACAATAATGTTACAATTGGACTATATATATATTTCTGACATATTACTATCTGAGCAGGACACTATTAATACACAATAGGGGATATAAACAATGGGGAAGAATAAAGCAAATTTTATACAAGCTCAATATGAGCTATAAGGGTGAAGGCCAATGCAATCTTTATCTGCAAAAACACATTAAAAAGAAGTAACAGTCTCACTATCCTGCACTGGAAAAATAACCACTAAAACACTGTCAATACTGATGCTCCTAACTTCAAAAGCTCAATAACAAAATGAAGTTCTTCCAGAGGAATAGAGCAAAACAATAAAAGGTCTGGAAGAGATCAGCCTAGTTTGGGTAAAGAGATAAGTTTTAAAAAAGCATCTTGCAATCCAGTAGAGAAGATAACTTTATAATAAGTGTGCTTTGCAAAAATATAAGCAGTGCATACCTTGAAAGCTGCATCCCAAAAGCCTAGATAACCATCTTATAGGGAAAAATTGTTAAAATGAAGAAAGAAAATGGGGGAAGAAAGTGGAGGTGGAGGTGGAGGAGGAGGAGGAAGAGAAAGGGGGGAAGGGGAGGAGGAGGTGAAGAAGGCTAATTTATGTGACCTGTATGAACACTTCCAAATTAGACCATATCTAAATAATCAAATATAAATGGTTATAAAGCCTTTTTCTAAGCAAGGTAAAAGTGATACTTCAAACTAAAACTTCAATTACTATGCCCCACAGAGAACAGGTGGAAATTAGTGTCATAAAAATAAGGAAAACAAATATGCATTAAAGTCTAGTTACTCTATTAATGGGTTCTTTATATTTATTACTTCACTGAAGTACAATATGAACAAAAGTCAAAATTTATGTGCACTTGTCAGAACAGAAAGTAAAAAAAAATTTACTGATAATTTAATACTATGAAACAAAATTAGTATAGCTAATGGAGAAAATGACCAAAATAGATTACATTTGTCCTGGAATATGAATTTAGTATTTCAAACTCTGTGGGTGACAGCTTTTTCATGAAGTGTTTAAAATGTATACTCTTTTCTGATTAAATAGATACATAGAAAAAGGGGGGTGGGGAGGATAAAGCTTAAATGGTTATTATAAAGTATATGAATACAATCAAACTAACAAAAGATACTGACCAAGAATAAAGAATAAATGTGAACACAGCTCAATGTGTGATATTTCATAATAGTCCATGACACTTTTTATTTCCACCATTGGAAACTCAACACCAAGCAATTAACAGGCATTTAACAAATATGTGTGAAATGAATAAATGTCAACCACCAAGTTGTAGAACTGCAAATAATACTGTGTTCTAGCCAATCTAAAATCTTTCTTATATATGACATGCAAATAGTTGCCATTTCTTTTCAAATCCAGATCTGCAAAATAATTGTGCTGCTTATTCCCTATTCTATCTTTGAAAAAGAATAACAATATATAGAGAGGCTAAACATCTGGAGAACAACTAAATTTTATAGAGATTAACTGACTTTCTTAGGTATTTTATTGTACGAAGACATGAACTTTATTATGTTTTCCCAATCAGCTTAAAAAATGGGATTCTCCACTATGCAAATATGAATCAGTAATATAATTAAATAACTGAAATCCTTTAAAAATTGTAACGCTTCATGCAGAATGTTGGAAAACTTTCAATTCAATTTCTAAGGATTAAAACTACTTCAGCTTATATAATTTTTGATATAGGTGACCTAGAATAATAAACTTCCTTTCAAATTTTGCTTACTAGGGAACACCAAAAACAAAGTTGTTTTTTCAAAGCCCCTTTTCTGGGTTGTTTTTTTTACTACTTAGAAAAATTTTGCCACACAAATATTTTACTTGAATTTAAACAGTTCACGTGGGTTTAAATCAGCAATGTCTTTGGGACAAAAACAGTCAAGACATAATTAAAACAGGAGAGCCCAAATAATTCACACAAGGGACATTCCTAGAGTATCCAGTTCAGAAGATCAAACAGACTGCACCACTGGGTCCCAAAGCGGTTTTAATACAAAGAAACAAAGACAAAGAGACAGCTAAAATGGGGAGGCAAAGAAACAACCTCCAAATGAAAAACAGGAGGAATCTCATAGCAAGAGCTAAGTGAAATGAAGGCAAGCAATTTATCAGGCACAGAATTCAAAGTAATGGTTATAAGTGTGCTCAAGGAGCTTAGTGAGAACTACAAGAACTTAGTGGAAACTACATCAGCATGAAAAAGAACATAGATACCATGAAAAAGAACCAGTTGGAAATGAAGAATACCATATGCATACATCAAGAATACACTAAAAGGAAATAAAAGTAGGCTGGATGAAGCAGTAGACTGAATTAGCAATTTGCAGAAAAGACAGGAAAACAACACCCATTCAGAGCAACAAAAAGAAATAAGAATTAAAAAACAAACAAAAAATGAGGATAGTTTAAGGGAACACTGGGACATCAAGAAACATAATAATATCCACATCAAGGGGAACCAGAAGGAGAAGAATATGAGCAAAGGACAGAAAACCTGTTTGAAGAAATAATGGCAAAAAAACTTCCTAATCTAGTGAAGGAAAAAGTCACACAAGTGCAGGAAGCATAGAGAGTCCCAATCAACATGAACCCAAAGAGACCCACACCAAGGCACATAATAATTAAAATAGCAAAGGTTAAAGACAAAGAGAGGATCTTAAAGGCAGCAATAGAGAAACAGTTTGTTACCAAAAAGAGTTTCCATAAGGCTGTCAGCAGATATTTCAACACTTCAGGCAGAAAGGAATGAATGACATGAAGTATTCAAAGTAATGAAAAGCAAAGACCTGAAACCAAGACTACTCTAATCTATCCAACAAGAGTACCATTTAAAAATGAAAGTGAAATAAAATTTCCCAGACAAAACAAACAAACAAACAAACAAACACTAAAGGAGTTGATTACCACCAAACCAGCATTTCAAAAAATGGAAAAAATGATGGTTTAAAAAGAAGAATTAGAGAGAGAGAAACGAAAGAAAAAAAATGGCAATAAATAAGTACCTGTCAATAGCAATCTTAAAAGTAAATGGAGTAAGTGCTCCAATTAAAAGACAAAATGGATAAGAAAACATGACCCATATATATGCTACCTACAAGAGACCCAACTCAGAACAAAAGATTCACACAGAATGAAAGTGAAAGAATGGAAAAAAATATTCTATGCACATGGTAACGAAAAAAAGTTGGGATAGCAATACTAACATCTGACAAAATAGACCTCAAAACAAATGCCATAACAAGAGACAAAGAAGGTCACTACATAATTCTAAAGGGATCAATCCAAGATGAGGACATGACTATTGTAAACATATATGCACCCAATATAGGAGGCACCTAAATATATATTTACAAAAACACAGAAAAAAACTCTTGGTGGACTTCAAGGGAGAGATCAGCAGAACAGGTCATAGTAGGGGACTATAACAACCCACTATCATCACTGGATAGATCTTCCAGACAAAAAAAATCAACAAGGAAAATAAAGACCTTAAATGACACTGTACATCAGATGGATTTAATTGATATTTACAGAAAATTTCATCCCAAAGAAGCAGAATATACATGCTTCTCAAGTACACATGGAGGAGTCTCAAAGATAGACCACATATTAGGACATAAAATAGGTCTTAACAAATTCACGAGGACTAAAATCATACCAAGCACCTATTCGAATCACAATGGCATGAAACTAGAAATAAACTACAATAAAGATACTCAAAAACATTAAAACACACAGAGGCTAAATAGCATGCTATTGAACAAGGAATGGATTGCCAATGAAATCAAGGAAGAAATAAAAGCTTTGTGGAAACAAATTAAAATGAACTCACAACCCAAAACTACGGGACAAAGTAAAAGGAGTTCTGAGAGGGAAGTTCATAGCATTACAAGCCTACTTCGAGAAGCAAGAACAAGATCAAATACATAACCTAACCCTACACCTAAAAGAACTAGAAACAAAACAAACAAACAAACAAACAAAAACAACAAGAAACCCAGGCAAATCAGAGGAAGGAAATAATAAAGATCAGAGCAGAAATAAATGACATTAGAGTCTAAAAAGCAATGCAAAAGATTAAGGAAATCAAAAGCTGGTTCTCTGAAAAGATAAACAAGATGGATGAGCCTTTACCAAGACTCATTAAGAAACAAAAAAAGAGGACCCAAATAAACAAAATTGAAAATGAAAGAGGCAAAGTAACAGCTGATATCACAGAAATAGAAAGGATTGTAAGAAAATATTATGAGCAAACATGTGCCAACAAATTGGACAACCTGGGTGAAATGGTCAAATTCCTAGAAACATACAATCTTCCAAAACTCAATCAGGATGAATCAGAAAACCTGAATAGACCACTAACAACTAATGAAATTGAAGAAGTTATAAAAAAAATTCCCAGCAAACAAAAGTCCTGGGTCAGATGGTTTCACAGGGAAATTTTAGAACTTCCCAACTGGTGTGGCTCAGCAGTTGAGAACTGACCTATAATCTAGGAGATGGAGGTTCGATTCCTGATTG